TTATCATACTGTTATATTTTATATTTGTAAAATAGATACCGCGAAAGGTCAAAAGTATGTTTAAATGAAATCTGAAAATGAAAACGAAAAGCTGTCCAATATTTCCCTTTTCTCAATGCTCCCCTTTATATTATGTACAAATATTATACGCATGAGACGTACAACATGGATAAGGGATACATATGAAAAATATTACTACAGATTAATATTATTATTACTCCCTTGGCTTTCGAGTGGAGCATAGGGCTCTAACAGCACATCTCCACTTTGTTCTATTCTCTGATGTCCTCTCCGATTCTGGCTGGCTGGCTGGCTGGCTTTGACATCTTCATCCGTGCTGTCGCCTGTGGTTGAAGCCGTGCTTCATAATGAGATAAGTGTAGGAAGTGATCTCTGTCAAATCTCTCCCATTGAGATGGTGATCAGTGCTGGTTGTTGTTGTTGCTGTTGCTGTTAGTGAGTGGTTATCTTCATCTCCTCCGTCTTCTCTATGTTCACCTGGAGTTCTGTCTTCGCTGCCAGTCTCTTCAGTCATTTAGTTGGTATTCACCTGCAAATCTTTGAATCTCCGTGACATTAATGATAAATCATGCACGCGCGGAATCTGGATTATCTAGAGTCTTCTTGTTGGGGGTCCAACATATTTCTGTTTTCTCACTCCCAATACATAGTCTGAAGCATGATCCAGTCAGTCCACGACAATTGGGAATATCATCGTTGATAGTAGACAGGTAGCCTTGTCTAACTCCTGTATTCACTTCGAACGCCACGCTAATTTTCTCGTTGTAGATCACCTGACACGCGGTAGTCATATAGCCAACTGCTGAATGAGGTTGATAATGACTTGGGGACTACATGCCATAGTGTTGAAGTAGTTTCCAAATTACTTCTCGTTCAAGGCTGTCTGCTGAAGGCCTTTTTGAAGTCGATGAAGTTGGGGTGGATTGAGATTTGACTGCCATTCTATGCTTTGTTCTGTGGTGACGATGCGTAGAGTTGCAATTTGATCAGCACATGATTTGCCTTTCCTGAATCCAGATTGTTACGGCAGAGGGAGATCTGTATCCGGTGCATCTTTTATTCTCTCCAGGATGATTCGACTCAGTATTTTACTTGGCGTGGACAAGAGCATTATTCTGCCTTGTTTCTTACAGAGTGAGGCGTCACTCGCCCTTCTTCGGTAGCTTGACAAGGAGGCCAGCTGTTCTTCCAACCGGCAGGCACCTTTCCTTCAATCCAAACCTTTTGTAATAATGGCGAGGGCACATCTGCCACAGTCTCTGGGTCCGTTTTCAGTACTTCAGTATGCAGGAATTCCGTCTGGTCCTGCTGCCTTCCCAGCCAGACTTCAGTAACTTGGCTGCATTCAAGGTTTCCACCCTTGTTGGAGGATTGGCGTCCACAGACAGGCAGTTCTTTGCGTATTGCTGGTGCTATTTGTGGGCGAAATGCAGATGATGGTCGATTCAAGAGTCCATTGAAGTGGTAAGGCCATTGTTTTACTTGTCTTTCCTTGTTGGTAAGTAGGTTTCCCTGCACATCTTTAATAGGTTTCACCTGAGTTGATCTCTTCACAGATAGAGACCTGGTTACCTGATATAAATTTTTGAGGTCTCCTTCATCTGCGGACTGCCTATTCTGCTTCAGTTGCCGGCCAGTAAGTCGTAGAATTGTCTTTTGTCTTTCCTAGCACTCTTCTTCACTTCTTTATTCAGTGCAGTTTACAATGAACTTAGCATCTCCTGTTGTCCATCTTTGCATTGAGTCATCTTCTCTTTCACCATCCTCCTCTCCTCTCCACTTCTCGATTAGCTTCCAGGTATCTATTGACAACCATTCCTTGTTTTGTCTCTTCCTTCTTCCTGGAACAGTTGTACACGTTTCCTTAAATATCACTTCCAGAAAGTTCCAATGTTCTACCACACAGGTTTCTTCAATGATGCCACGTAGTGTCTCTGACTTTGCTCTGACCTGATCTGTAGTGAAGGTATGCCTTGTAGTTTTGTCGCTCACTTCAGATTGTGAATGTTGAACTGGAATTACAGTGGCCCATCTCCATTTGTTTTCATGGATTTCATCCTCACCTTGAAGGTTCCTTGAACTAGATGATGGTCTAGGCCCACATCTGCTCCCCTTTTCGTCCAGAAGGCTGCGCCTTCACTTCCTTGAGCAGCATTGAGATGAAATCTATCTCCTGAGTGTATTGCGTTTCATTCTGCAAATTTGTTGCACAACAGGCCCTTAGCTAGTTTACTACACTGCCAGAGTCCCTTGCTGCTTATCCTTACTGGTATCCCATCTGATCTTCAGTATGGAGCGAAGACAAAGGTTGGGGAGAACTTTAAGCAAGCAGCTGGAAATGCTTTGGATTGCAAGCTTGCCAGTTCTGTGAAACACATAGAAGCACCGGCCTGAAATGAGTGTGGAAGATTCGGATCATATTCCCTGTGCTGAGTGCTACAGATGTCCATATCGATTCCACAGTCATGAAGAACTGGATTGCTTTCCCATCCTTCCTTTAACATCACCATCTGCACAACTTGCCTGTAGTAATAACCATGGTGTCCAGTTAAATTAAAGAGACGACCTCCCTTGGATTCCTCCTGTTTAATGGTAATTGTCAGCCAGCTTCGAACATGATGCGGACATTCCATATCCCGCATCTGATTCCTGGTTTCATGGAAAGATGACATGCTAGTCGACTGAGTTCACCACGGCTTTCACCAGCCAGAAATATCCATCCTTCCGATTCTAAAAGATTATAGCTTTATTTTTTCTTTCGTTTAAACTCTCAGAAGCGATACTGATTTTTTTTCTGAGGAAGCCGCTGGGTGACATCACGCGTCAGGCTATTGCTCGAGTGGAACCCGAAAGGGAAGAGGCGAGTAGGGCGTCCAAGGGTGACATGGAAGAAGTCGTGTGAAGAGTTGAAACAGTATGGACTAACATGGATGTAGGTGAAAAGTACAGAAGGAAACAGAAGCAAAAGGAGACGTGTAGTTGAAGCCCTATGTTCCATTAGAAACGCAAGGGAATAATAATAATAATAATAATAATAGGGTCGCTAGCCTCATGCTCAATCTTCTCTCTGTTCTGGTTTTAAGAATGACTAGGGATCTAGGTGAGTTTTCGTCACTACCAGTCCCTAACGCCATTGATAAGTGGTTATAGAAGTGCTACACATCTTCAGCTCAAGTACCAGAAGGATAAAAAGGTGCTATTTCCTACCCTCCTTGTTTTCAGCATGACAGCAAACAACTTTTAACTAACTAAATATCTAAACTGACGACTTTCTGGAGAAAAACAGTTAGGGGAGAATTGCTTAGATGAATACAAATGCCTGACTTTCTGGAAAAAAACACATTTTTATACTAATAGTTTATATTTGCTGAATCTACTTCTAAACACAGTAGAACAAATTGTATCTTTGGTCTAAGCATCCTGGTAGTGTCTCAGAGCTCAAAAGAATTGAGTGTGAGAAGGCTATAGAAAACTCAACTTATCTGACAACATGTTAACCTGTCTCACCTGCTACTTTATCTAACATAACTATATGCTTTTATAGCATTACAGTGCTGCTTGACTTTTTCCTAAACACGGTGGAATTTTAGTGTTGCTTATAATCGTCTAAAGTCTTAGTCAGTCTCAACTCCACACTACCGAATTTTTCGTCAATGGTAGAATGCTCACCAGCCATTCGGTTGGCCCGGGCTCGACACCCGGCCAATGCATTACCAGATCACACTTAGATTACGTATTTGAAGCCCACACCGTAAAAAGGACACCACCACTAACATAACTTCAAAGGACAGAACCATATGTTCTACTGAGGAAAGTATTTGATTTCAAAGGGTTGGCCTGTAATGAGATATCTAACACAACTATCTTGAAGTCACTTATCACGTCCAAAATAACCAACGGCAAAGTCTGAATATTGATAGAACTAAGGTAACATCTCCTAATACCTTGGTCAGGGCTGTAAGGGATAGGCTTTAACACCAGTGTTGATGTATGCTATAAAAGATTTTAGTGAAGTGCTACGAATAAAATCCCTATGTCCGGCTCTACCGGATACTTCTGTTATATATGGAACCGAATTAGGCATAAAGCTAGCTAATTAGCCAAAGAAGGGTATGAACAGTATTAGATTCACGTGAAAGAAGCCAGGACCTCCGAAGACAAGTAAAGCAACTTCATGTTTCGAAAGACGTCCCGCAAAGAACTACTGCGTATCGGAAATTTCTTTGCTACCTCTTAACGCGTTCGGATCGATAGCAGCTTAAGTCGTCTCAGTACAACTGACATCAAAACACGACAATGACAGCGACCTGTGGTACTAGTTATAGTTGAAAACACGCTTGTACCACCAACAGCTAGAAGAATGGCCCCTACTAAAATGGTTGGTGAAAAAGATGAAACGCCACCCGACTAACAAGAGAAATAGGTACTCTAGCATCGAATATCATCAGTGAGTTAGAAACCGAAAGACCGGAGTCACTGTGAGTGGCGACAAGATCCTTTACTTAAGAAGGTTAATTTTACCCGTATACCACAAGTTGCCGAGCGTCCTAAATAAATATGACACACGTTCTCATAAACGACTCGCCATTCCACGATGCGAGATAGTGTCGACACTCGACTACATCGCATACAAATGCCCATATCGCGCCATATATGTAGGAACATAACGACGTCTCGCGTTACTTAACTCATCCGTCGCAAATACCCCGCGCTACCCAGCCCTAATCTAACTGGTAACGTGACGATAAGTAAACGAATGCGCTAACAAACCTCTGTTCAGACATAACTGAACGTTCTGCGCACTTACCAAAATAGTACACGTCCGACCTATCGAAAACTAAACTACCCGATTTATACACCCTGACAACTTAGCTCTCACCTATCTTCTAACAAAGGAACAACGAATACGCGAACACCACACACAACCCTCCTACTCACAACTTCAACGACTAACACAAAACATAAGGCAAACACAAAAATTCAATGCAGTGAATAAAATGTATTATAAGATGAATGAATGAATCAATCAATCAGTTAATGTCAAAGTATGTACAAAATGCAATGTTTAATCCACCTCCTCCATACCTGCATCGTCACCGGTCTCCGTTGGAACTGCTGCTGGCGTGCTGTTGTTCTCCACTGGACTCTCACCAACCTTTGCATCCTCCTCCGTTGGAATGTCCAAACACATACTCACCAACTGATGGATACGATTCGCGTAGATCTTGGGATCTTCAAGGGAGAAACCAGAGGTGAGGAGGGCAGTGCTGTGCAACAACTGGACAAGGTCTTTCGCCAACTTGATCGACTCACCACCATCGAACAGGTTCTTCAGTGCAACAATTATTGGATGTGTGGGATTCAGCTCCAAATGCTTCTTGGCCGCCATGTAACCCATCGTGCTCGTGTCTCTCAACGCCTGAGCCTTCATTATCCTCTCCATATTCGCCGACCAACCAAACTCAGATGTCACAATACAACAAGGTGAAGTTGTCAAACGACTCGAAACGCTCACCTTCTCAACACGCTTACCAAGAATGTCCTGGATCTGTTTGCACAATGGCTCGAACGACGCCTTCAAATCCTCAAATTTCTTCTTCTCCTCCTCATCCTCAGGTAGTTGAAGACCCTCCTTCGTCACACACACCAACTTCTTACCATCATACTCACGGAGCTGGGTAACTGCATACTCATCAATAGGGTCCAACATGTACAACACCTCGTAACCACGCTTGCGAAGCACCTCTGTGAAGGCTGAGTTCGCCAACGCCTCCTTCGTCTCACCGGTGATGTAGTAAATATCCTTCTGGTTCTCCTTCATGCGAGACACATAGTCCTTCAGACTCGTCATCTCGTCACCACTGACGCTCGAGTAGTAGCGTAGGAAATCAGCCAGCTTCTTCCTGTTCACACCATCCTCGTGGATACCAAGCTTAATGTTCTTGGAGAACTGCTCGTAGAACTTCTTGTAGTCCTCCTTATCCTCCATTATCTCCTCGAACAACTCAATACACTTCTTCACCAAGTTCTTACGGATCACCTTCAACACCTTATTCTGCTGCAACACCTCACGACTGATGTTCAACGGCAAGTCTTCACTGTCAACAACACCTCGGATGAAGTTCAGATACTCAGGAATCAGGTCTTCACAGTTGTCCATGATGAACACTCGACGCACATACAACTTGATGTTGTTTCGCTTCTTGCGGTTCTCAAACAGGTCGAAAGGTGCACGCTTGGGAACAAACAACAATGCTCGGAACTCAAGTTGACCCTCCACAGAGAAGTGCTTCACCGCCAAATGGTCTTCCCAGTCATTACTCAACGACTTGTAGAACTCCCCATACTCCTCCTTCGTGATGTCATCGGGATTACGAGTCCAGATCGGCTTCATCTTATTCAACAACTCCTCATCTATATACTTCTCCGTCACCTTCTTCTTTTTCTTCTTCTTAGCGTCCTTATCATCATCCTCGTCTTCATCTAAATCCTCAACCTTAGGCTTGTCGTCTTCACCCTCAGCCTCATCAGCCTCCTTACTCTCCTCCTTCTCTGCCTCATCATCAGAAACCTCCTTCGTACGCTCCTTCTCAACCACCAACTCGATCGGATAATTAATGAACTGAGAGTGCTTCTTCACTATCTCACGGATCTTTCTGTCTTCTAGGTACTCCATCTGGTCTTCTTTCAGGTACAGGATCACCTTCGTACCACGAGCTGGCATCTCACTGCTGTCCGGAGCGATGGTGAACGAACCACCAGCCAACGACTCCCACATATACTGCTCGTCGTCGTTACTCTTCGTCACCACCTGAACACGGTCGGCCACCAAGTAGGCAGAGTAGAAACCAACACCGAACTGACCAATCATCGAGATATCGGCACCAGCTTGCAACGCCTCCATGAACGCTTTCGTACCAGAACGAGCAATCGTACCAAGGTTGTTGATCAAATCTGCTTTCGTCATGCCGATACCAGTATCAAGAACTGTCAGAGTACCAGCTTCCTTGTTCGGGACCAGCTTGATATACATCTCCTTTCCAGAATCGAGCACTGATGGTTCTGTCAGACTCTTGTATCTCAGTTTGTCCAGAGCATCGCTTGCATTGGAAATCAACTCACGGAGGAAAATCTCTTTGTTCGAGTAGAATGTGTTGATGATCAAGCTCATAAGCTGGGCGATTTCAGCTTGGAAGGCGAAGGTCTCCGCTTCCGGTTGGGCATCTGGACCAGTACACATTGGTTCGGGCATTTTGACGGAGTTTAGAGTTGCACGAGAAAAAATAGTAGTGTCTGATTTGTCTAGAACTTTGCTTATAAATATGTTTTAGAATGTTCGAGAAATTATTGAGCGTTTCCAAAATTAGCATGCTTTTGACCAATCAAAATTATTTAGAATTGTGTAGAAGTTTCCAGATAATTCTGTGTAATTTGATTGGTCGAAATTGTTCAGTCCTTGAAATTTTCCACATGTGAATGGTGGATAGGAAATTAGGCTTTGGTTATCATATTTTTGTTAAGTTGTTGATTGTAGAGTTGAATTTTGTTCTTTAACGATGCCTGAAGTAAGAATCGCCCATATTTTGTGTTAATTCTCTTCGCAACCCTCTCTAGTTGAGTCATTTATTTAATTTTTCTGAATTGAGTCGCTTCCAGACGTCGTGATTTCATTGTAAACCTATAGTGAAGGTAACTTTGTAAGATATCCTGTCTCGTATTCACTTACAAGTATTATTAAGTCTGAATGTTAGAATTTGAATTCAGGGAAACTAATGATTTATGTGTATATTGCTGAAGACCTTCCTAATGTTGCTAAACTCCATACGATGCCATCAACAGGGAATAATATTCATTTGGAAATTTGGTTAGGTTTGTTCTGGAGACTCCGATTCTATATGAGTATTTTAATATCTGTATGTCAGGGTATTCGCTTATCTTTCGCACGCTAGGTAGATTTCTTCAGGCTGCGCCAACAAAGGCAATTAACTCATTCTTGGGAAGTAAGTTTCTGAAACCTTCAGTCTGTAGAGCATGCAGTTAAGCTGCCATACAAGCAACACGCATTCCCATATATATTTTTTATTTTTTTTATTTTTTTTTGGTAACAGCTTGATTCCACACTGTATTTTTGGTACAAGTATGGAATTTTCAGCGTAAATATCGGTAGCCCAAATTTCGCAGGCCGACCATAGATATCTGGTGTGCGCCGGTGTGGGTTCGAACCCCGGACCAAGTGCATGGTCGTCGAGAGTCCTAACCACTGTGCCACCGACGCACATTTGGCCAAGTAGACAATGCGCACAGAACCCTTTTGGTAATCATCCGACGAGTAGCATATGTTCAAAAGTTTAGTGAAGAATTGCAAAGCGCAGTCTTCACGCACCACTTTCAGTTGCCTGGTTCCCACCTCCTGAGAAGATTTTGAATTGGGGGACTAATGGTATCATAGGATTTTTTCAACATTGTAAGAGTGATATTTTAGACGGTTTAAAAATCTTTCCAAAACCATGATTAAGAGACAAGCAGGTATGCATGGTCGCCTCTAGGAACAACTCTGGCCACTAAAGCGAAACCTGATTGTTATTCTGTTCACCTTTAAATGTAAAGATATTCGTGTTCCAGAATGGGCGATCTGATCCGTCGTCGTCTATTTCACAACTGAGGGAGATTTCACTAAATCATGTGAATCCATTGCGGACAAAGTCAAACTTTAAGCACCAGTAGCTGCCAACGGACAAAAGACTTTGAAAGCATCAACCACATGATAAAGGAGATTTTGCATATAAAATGCGTCTTTTCATCAAAATAATGAATTAAAACACAAAAAAACTGCTACACAGGATACCTTTCTCTGACATATGACAAAAATACCCCTCAATTTTTGATTGTAGTGTAACAGAGTAATTTAATCATATTCTTTGCATGTAATAATCTAGTCTTTTAGCCTTAATCTTTCCTTAACCTAACCCTAAAATGAAAATATACCTAAACTAACCCAAATATAACTCGAACCGACCCTAATGTCGCCCTCATTGGGTTAACTTAAACCTAACTTGCCCATATCCTAAACCTTAACGTAATCTTCCCTAAACCTAACCTGAAAGTTACTAGGTATTCCATTAATTAATACAAAACCTCATTATATACTACTACACTAACTTGCCTACTGAGTGTTTCAAAGTTATTAGTGCGATCGCACTCTCTTGGTACTTACTGGTGTCCCAGCCCTTATCAACTGCGAAACCGGTTTCTCTCCTGAGTGCTGTGGAATCCCTGATGGATAGTCATAATCCTATATGCCTTCTGCATGTTCACGCTTGGCAATACAACACAATAAGTATAGTTAAGTCGTGATGTAGACCACTAGGAATAAAGTTAGGGCATTCTAGTTTTGATGTCGTAGTCCTTCCTTAGTAAGCAGTTTTACCTCATGTATTCAGTTAGCTCAACGGTTGTCAAATAAAAATGATAAAGTTTCAGCTTTAGTTTTGAAGGCGCCATAAAAACGTCTTAACTAAAGTCGGTGAGTCATTCTTGTAATCAGACATTAATCATGTGTTGCTTCGGCACATAGAGTTCCTTTTTACACATAAGACAGGTCATCATATTATTTATTTTTGATTACAGCTTGATCCCACACCGTATTTTTGGTACATGTATGGAATTTTCAGCATAGATATCGGTAGCTCGAATTCTGCAGGCCAACCATAGATATCAGGCGTGCGTCGGCAGGGGATCGAACCTCGGACTATGTGCATTGTCGGCGAGAGTCCTAACCATTGTGCCACCGACGATGTTCTACCACTTCCAACTCTAATGACTGCGTGAAAATAATCATATTCTGTATTTCAGTATGTGTGGATAACTGATTTATAAGGTACTTGACCCCTAGGTTCATCAAACATATGTATGTAGAGCCATTAGATTTTAAAGGCTATAAGTTTCTTCACACTAGATGCATTAACGTTTTTATTTGAACTTCATTCATTTACTTGCATCACAAGTGAATATGTGTACTTTGAAAAATTTCACTAGGACGTTAACCGGACGTAATATTTAACTCACGAACCTTTTTTTTACTTTTTCTTTTTAGCAGTTATACTCCACAAAAATGGATAGATAAAAGTTACTCGGATTTTGGAACGTGGTGGTGATTGATATGCAATAAGCAGTAAAGGCCAATACGAGTGAACAATTAGTGAATAGCTTTCATAAAGAAATATAATCTTCAGCTTTGGCTATGTGTTCCAGCTTTTATCATAAAGAACTTGGATGGGAATTTCTACTATAATTTGCACAACGAAGGGATTACTCGGATCGCTGTGGTAGATACAGAGACTAACTTCTACATCTTCAGTTATATTCGTCGTTATTGCTTATATATATTTTTCCCAATAAATGTGTTTTATTTTGGAATGTTTACTGTTTTCTTTCTCGTAAAAGAAACTACTGAATATATTCTGAGCTCGTTGTACCCGGTTTGTGTCACAATCGAATATGGTATTTTGTATAGGTCTTTATAGCATAAGATAAAATATGAGTCTCGCTCTCTAAGCTCATATGCTCTCAGCTCTCTGCATATGTTAGTTATTCTCTCACTACTTTTAACGAATCATTGATGGAGTACGCACCGTTCATTTAATATCCCTGGCTAGTACAACTGTTACATGAATAAGCCAATGTTGTGTTTCTAAATTAAGCCTATTGAATTTTCACTTAAACATTAGATGGATATTCTATTATGGTAATAGAATGTACCTGTAGACAAACATCGGTTTTGTTATCTTACACATTTAGCAGAAGAGTTGGTCATTGGCAAGGAACCTGAAAACTTAGCGCTCATAGGTGTGTGAATTACATACACGAAGTCAGTGCTTGTAGTTCACACTAAGTTTAGCCGGACTGCTTATTCGAAGGCGTTCTCTTTGAGAAATGAACGACTTTTGAGTGCACTTGTATCGTCCATTTCTTTAAGGATGTTACAATTATGCTTCTCTTGCTGCTTTTGCTACTATTGTCACATAGCTGTATTTTCCATTGAGGTGCCGAAAAACCTACTCATTCCACATTCAGACAATTTAAGGCATGTTAAATACACCTCGGGTACTTTAGGTACTGATATACATTCAAGTAGTATGTTTCTAGTAGTAGAAATTACGTACATTTGTAAAACTAGCCTTACCAATATGAGTTGGTTAGGTTCCAGTGGAATATATTAATCAGCATGACATATTATCAATATCCGGTTAAAACATATCCGTATACATTTGTTTCTTTCCAGTTCATTCGTGCGTCTCTTTCATCTTCAGATTTGTCCCGAATTACGCTGACTAAATTAGATATGGTGCGGAAAATGTCAGGGTGATGTGATTGCGAAACAGTGAATATCTGCGAAATTTCTGACTGCATCTATAAAACAAACACCTTGGTTCTCATAGGTAGTGAAAGATACCACTAACTCAACAGTTTTGACTTCTGAGACACACGAAAACTTAGAGTTCGCCTATTTCTTAAGCTCAGTAATTCAAAACAGCTCTTTCATATACCAGGCTAACAGCCACACATGTCTGGTCACTGCTTGCTATACTACCCAGTCGCCCAAGCTGAAGAAGGTTAGACTAGTCGTACTACTAAGTACTATCAACAAGTAAGCTAACATTTTTCTCTATAGTTGTAAATTTGCCGTCAGCAGACACTTTTTATAATGCGCTAAGAAGGAATATAGAAAATTGAACTTTTGCAAGTGTCCATTCCCCATTCACACAAACCCAAGTGGAGAATTCTAATGAATGAGATAGTAGTGTTAGTCTTCATACAAAAATTATTTGTAGAATATAATTCATCAACTTTTTAAGGATTTTAAGTGATAGGTTTTTCTCCTGTTTCGTGATATCTCAAAAACCCTAATTTCTAGCACTGTGAATTCGACGACCTCTCTCTATGTAGGCAAACTTCCTTCAATCTCTGCTTTATACACTTCACTTAACAACTATTGCTTAATATTTGGTAGGTCAGTACGCTTTGTTTAGTGGAGTTGAAATTAGCTTTAAATTGATTGTATTCACTAGAAGTTTGACACTGAAATTTGGATCTCACTGCAATATCATTGAGTTCTAATTTTATTCTATAGATGCTGATGACATTTTTATAATGAAATTAACAGTTATTGAATGCCTCCTGCATCATACTGTATTTCCTTGTCTCTCTGAAGGCTTTTCCGAAATTCCCTGTTACTCGTTTAAACGTCCATCGTCGCTGATATAATAATGAAATGAAGAAAAGCCTTCGAATATAGTAGTTTCACAGGAGATTTATTTCTTTTAATAAACAATAATATATTTTGAACAGTATTTATTGATTGTAGCCATAGAAAAT